GAATTGTAGTTTATTTGATAACGAGAAATTTATTAATAGAGATAGAAGATGCCGCAACATAAAGCTTAAAGTCAAAAACACTCAAGACGATGCAATTGATTCCTCTGATTCGGATCATGAAGAAAGTGGTGCAGAATGCTCGGTTTTGGAACCTTCTGCTTCTTCATACGCAACCAACCAGCATTATTTCAGCTCTTCTGTCGTGATAAGAGACCTGCCAGAGAGTATTACAAGAGTTCATCCTAGATCTCTCTATGTCACTCCCACGTCCAATAAATCAACACTTATTGGTGATAGACATGACATAGGTACAAGCAAAATCCGAGTCAAGGTTGAGAGGGATGTTGAGATGGAACTAGATAACCAGTTTAGCTCTCGCTCATTGTTTTCTGTTGAAAACATAAACACTGATGATCATGGTGAGCGGAAGCCACACAAAAGAAACAAAAACCAGTACCTCGCAGTCCAAGAAATTTCTGATGAGACAAGCATGGTTGCATATAACCTAATCGGCCGCTTACTAGAGAAATTTGCAGATCAAAAAGGTGTGGACTTAGATGCAGATGAACGTTCATATCTTGGAGGCGACTCCAGGCTTCAAGACAATATAGAAGGTGATGATAAAAAAAAATGCATTTTTCCTTATACAAAGTCATTCTGATTGTGCTAATGTCTACATGAACTTATAAGACATGGAACTTATATGACATGCTTTTTGGCTGGTAAAAAAAGTTATATGATCCTTCAAAATCGCCTTTGTTTATCCCGAGAGTCACATTTTTACTGAAATTCCGCTTGTTTGTTGCAGTGAGTGAAGAAAAGCAAGCTTCATCGCAAGAGAAGTCAGATGAGTCAACCATCGTTTCTGTTGTTAAAGAGCTAATGCCCTCCATTGAAAACAGGTATACATCTATTTCCATTGGTTTTCGTTTTGGTATTGAAGTCTCATGTTTCCTGGTAAGTACAAGGATATGGAATCTCTAATTACTGGATATATCTACTTTTAACAGTGTCTTGATGAAATTACAAGAGTTGATGAAGTTGTAATATTTCCTACCAAAGTGAAGTAGCAATGGAATGGAATGGAGAGGGAAACAATAGAGAATATCGACTTGAATACGAAGAATACGATTTGCTTCACATCGCATTGATTTCTTCCTGGACATTTTTTTGTAAGAATTAATATTGTATTCTTTTTTCTATATATATATATCAAAGATGAAGAAACAGGTGTTTCTTGAGTACAGCAATAGCAAATTAGACAAAACATTCAACTTTTATTCTCTGATTCATACAAAACGATAAACATATACAGTACACTGACTTCACTATACCAAAACTGTCTTTCTCCCTCATGCCTTTCTATTAGCAGCTAATAAAGGAAGAAAAACAACATTCTTCACACGGGAAAAACTCATCTGTGTGAATCTATCATGAACATGTTCCTAAGTAGTTGCTGCCAGCAGAACTCCCTATAGGAGCAGGCAAATCACGAACGAGAAACTTCACTGTGTTTTTTCCCAAACCATACAATATCTCCAAGCATTCTTGGAGATCAGAATCTGTAACCAACATCACCCATTCTTCTTCATCATCTAAGTACTTAAGCTGAAATGACCCGTCTTGCAGTTTAAAGCGTTTCCCAACTTCTTTGTAGAGCTGGGGACACCCAACAGATGGCTCGAACTTGAATCGTATTGTGTCTTCTCTATAAGTTGCCTTTACGGTCAGCGTTGTTGATCCACTCTCGCTGCTATTGTTGTTGTTGCTTCTCATTTGGTTCCAATCTTCCATGGAAGTAGATGAGCTTCCGAGCATAACTGCGCCTGAGCCTGAGCCATTTGATGAATCTGATATGCTGCATGACATGGATAGATTAGGTTCAACGATATTGCCACTGCACCGGAATGTTGTATCCATGCCATCTGCAATAGCCAGAGAGCTTAAGTTCCCAACGTTCTTCATTCCTTCACTGCCATTTAAAGCAGACTGTTCGGCCATCCAACCCCATGGCTGACTACTAGCATTAATATCTATGAATGATCCTGCACAAATGATCATGGCGTAAGATTTGAATCTTTACATCTAAGTTTTTTGGAATGGAGATGTTCTTACCCAATCCTGCTTGGTTCGTGGTGATATCATCCTCTAACTTAATTTCATTGTCGACAGATTTAACTACCAAGTGCTCGAAGGACGTCTCTTCAGCCATATTCTCCTGACCTCGTGCATTGTTAGCATGAGAAGATAGACCCTTTTGGGTATCAAATTCTTGGATAAAAGGGATAGCAATGAATTCGCCCGTGGTTGAGTCAAACTTTAGTCCTCCTTCTACACCCTGGACCGAGTCGAGCACTGTCTGTATCTTCCTTAATGATCGGTTCACTTTGTTAATCTTGCGAGATGGCCACCTCATGATCCCATTTTGTCTGCATATCCGTTTAAGAGTAGTTGGACAAACTGTAGAAAAAAATCCAAGTCAAAGCTTTAGATAGTTTGTCTGGTAAAATAGAATGGAATCCATGTCTGGGAAAATGTTAAAGTCTCACCACCAAGGCTTTTTGCAGCATCCTTTAGACTCCCGGAAAAATGTTGTTGGAGAACGCTTAAGCTCACATTTTTCTCTGTAGTGCTTTTCTTCTTCTCTGGTGTTCTTCGAACTTTGCTCATATCCTATGAAAAGATGCAAGGAAAAAGATCAGTGCTCAACCTAGCAAACTGGTTAACAAAAGCTACAGAATAACCAAATTGTATACATTGCGTACCTGCTCCGAAGTGCCTTGAGATTTTGTAACACTGTTTTCTTTATCGGATGACATATCCGAGAATATGCTTTTAGTAGTGTTAATTTCAGAATCCGATAATATTGTCGGCAAGTTTCCCGAACATGTGGTCTGCGGGAAATTGAACATTTTGCCAGTCCGAAATCCATCTGTAGTCACTTCTTTTTTAGTTGAACCAAGATCGGAAACAGTTCTTAGACTTCGACAAATTCTCTGCATAGTACCCGAAAGGCTGTCTAATAAAAGTTGTTGTTCCAAGCTTCCTTTCATACTTACAGGCAAGAAAAGTTCAAGTATGTAATCATCTTCACCAGTGTAAGTGCTCCTCAGTTTTATAGCAACAGCAGCATTCAGACCGTACTTTCGAGCATGCTGAACAAGTGGGTATTCACTGATGTCATATGATTTCACATCAGAAGAAAAGAACGGCTGGTTGGATACGAAAGCTTTGCCAACAATTCCTTCATTTTCTCTTAGACAATGCTCCAAACACACATGCACAAAGCCTTCCATCTCCATATCATTCACATAACAAGTTGTCTCCTCTATGCAAAAAACACAATTTTCACCTGAACTTGGTCCACAAACCCTTACAGATTGATCATTTCCTCCTTTGTCGTAACTACAAGGAATCCAGGCTAGAGCCAAAGGCAACTTGTGTGCATGACATACTGCTCGGAGAACATCTTGTATTTCAGCTAAGGCATCTCTTTGATTACTTGAAAGGTACTGGAAAGTAGAAATATTGTTAGACTGAGGCATAAGGGTTTGAAGAGAGCTAGTTTTTTGTTTAGTTAAGATGTTACCTGAGGACGAGGGATAGCTGATGTCCGTAAATTTACAGCCTGAAAAGGAAAAAGAAACCATGAATCTCTCTGCCAACTATTTTATACGATCTTTTTTCCAACATATTTGTAACAATGCAAGGAATCAGTAGCTGCATTTTGTAACCTCAGGTTGCAACCACAACAAACTGTCTCCAGAGCTGCCCTGGGAGCTTTCATTGACAAAAGCAGAGGACTCAGGCATGTCTTAAGCCAACAAAGATTCTCAGACCTAAATCAAGCTTGCATAAAGTTTAAAAGTTGTTGTAAAAAACATCGAAATCCAGATTGTTTAAGATAGAATTGACACAAGTTCTCTATGTTCATTGGTTTTTCCTAGAATGTTTGTAAGAGCCTAGAAATCAACCACATAAAATATGCTCTTTTAGCTTTTGACTTGCATTTGTACCAGCTAACTGTCGACCGTCATAAAAACAATGTTCCGTGAGAGAACAAAATAATTGCAGACAACTTTAGAGAAAAAAACATCCATATCTTTGTAAGACCTTCAATTTTCCTATCAAGGGAAGTAAATAAATGGAACAAAAAGTTTGAGGAACCAACTAATGAAGAACAAAAACTTCAGAGGCATACACGCAAACATAAATATAAGCGA